ACATCCATCCACCATTTTAGCTCCAGAACTCTTGGTAATAATAAAAAATAAAAAAGTATAAATTTTTTGTTGATAATGAAATGGAAAGAAAATAACTTCATGGTTTTTTTAATTAATGTTTTAGGGAAGATTCTAAATGAATATTTAACTACCGAAAAATTGGGAAATAGGCTTCAAAAGAATTGTGTTAATTGAAATAGATGAGCTTTGGTGGAAGCAGTGCAGAGATAGATGAGTTGTGGTGGAAGCAGTGCAGAGATAGATGAGTTGTAATGGAAGCAGTGAAGAGAATGATGAGTTGTGATGGAAGCAGTGAAGAGAATTGGCATGCGTCGCCCCTTTTAATTCTCGTGCATTTATAGCTAATCATTTAGCTGCATCATTAGGGTTATGTGTATATAATATAAGTTTATCAGTTTATACTTCTAATTAAGCTTAGATATTTTTTCAACGGTGGCTTTCTGTAGGCCTATTGATTTATCTACTAGATGTCATATGATCTTAATAATTTTTTTTTTATTTTGCAGTAACTAATAGTAATAGTTGGTTTAAAATATAAAAAAAATTAACTTATGGCACCAGGTATTCTGACATTAAGTATCACAGAGCTGGCATTATTTTTATTAATAAGGAATTTATTCAAAAGTTTAAAACTTGACCTAAATGGTATACCAATTGAAAAAAAGAATAATTATCCTATAATAATATTACTACTATAGTCCAGGTTTCTTTTTAAAAAAGCATTTATTTTCTATGTTAGGCCATCATCGGGGAAGCCATATTTATTTTCTATGTTAGGCCATCATCGGGGAAGCAATATTTATTTTCAGAAAATTAGCTTTAAACGTTTAACCATAAAACTTATATTCAAGTCAAATACTTAGTCTCAAATACATATGCAGCTTTGAATCATGATTTTGGTCAGCATCAATATTCATATATAAAAAATTATTTTAAAAATGCTATTGGTCAGCTTTAACTAACAATATTTATCTGTCGTTATAGTCATCTATTAGGCCCAGTCCATATCTTTTGGTCCCCTATCAGTGTTCATCTTTATTTAACTGCAGCTTAAGAGGCCATCCATATGTGAAACATGCACTGAGATAGGAGGGGTTGAAGATTTTGCATACGAGTGTGTATGGCTGGGGAGGTGAGGCTGGGAAGAATGTCTATACATTTATGCACAAATCTCATAGGCCGGCCATAAGTAGACTAGTTACATATCTAATCAATCAAGCCGTTAACTAAAAATCTGTCAATTTCTAAATATTTTCGAGGGCTATAAAAATATCATGTCAAAGTTTTGCAATTATGGTCTTGCTTTTGCTTTATATTTTCACAAATGAACTCATTAGATAATGCAACTGATTCTTTCAGCCTTTGTATTTTTGCATGCACGTGGGGTGTGTGATATCATTATTTTGTTTGGCTGACCAAAACTTTTATCTCCTACATCAATTTTTAACAGGGTAAACTGTTAATTGGTTAATGCAATGTACATCATTATTTTCTATAAATATATTGAAACGGTGGGGGGGGGGGGGAATTCTCATTTTTTACATATGTATAGGAGTGTCCAAAATATACAGTTGCAACAGGGGAGGTTGGGTACGAACAGATTATTTTTTTTTTTATGTAGTTAGAATATGGATGGCCCCTAATAATTTTCACATTTCAAATATACAAGTTGAGGCAAGTTATTAACAATCAGTATACTGCTCTAACAAAACTCATCACATTTTTTATCAGTCTGTGAAGACCACAAGTATTAGTATAGCCTTATACTTATAAAGTTGCCCACAGTGCTTAGTTGGCCACGACAAGAATTTTAGAATTTAACTACTACCTATTTGACACTTAAGTTGTGAATCAAACAAAATAGTTAGGATAATGAAGTACATATTGTAGAAATATCTAAATAGCAGTTTTGTGGGTGTTTAGTTAATAAAATATAACCATCAAAATCAGTTTTGTGCTGGTATAGTTAATAAAATATGACCATCGGAATCAGATTTATGACGGTATAGTTTATCAAACATGACCATCAGAATTAGATTGATGATGGTATAGTTTATCAAACATGACTATCAGATTCAGTTTTTGTGATGGTATAGTTTATCAAACATGACCATCAGATTCAGTTTTTGTGACGGTATAGTTTATCAAACATGACCATCAGATTCAGTTTTTGTGACGGTATAGTTAATCAAACATGACCATCTCAATAGGTGCAATACTCATCAGTTTCTTTATCTGTCGTCATTTTCAATTCTTTGAGCTTTTTTTAAAAATTATTGTTTTCATCTGTTGATTGTTAAAAAGTCACATGTTCAAATCTTGCACAACTATTCGTGTAAAGAATTTCCTTATTTATTTTTATTCTAATGTGTATCTGTAAAATACTGCATTTCGAATATACCAGTGACTTATTTTAAATTCTGTTTATAGCCAGCTAGAATATTTTAACTTAATATAAGGATAATATATATAATTCTTCTGTCTTTTCATTTCAAGTCTAAACATGATAATATCTTGTTCCACTATTGACTTTAACTTCAGTCCTCAATTTTAACATCTAATATTTACTTTACATTTCTGTTAATAAATTCTTCTAGTTTTTTATAAATTTTGGATATGGACCACAAAATGTTTTTAGAGAGAGAGAGGAATGGACATTGCTAAAAAAAATTAATTCAGTTTAATTTTAATAACAAATTGATTGATGGCTTAGCCAAATGGTATCTTTTTTTCCTACTGAAATATTTAGTTTTTTCATTTACACTTCAAACATGCTTCATCACATCATTTTCTTTGGTTGTATTTCACTCCCATGACATGATCAGAAAACTTTGCCTTAATTAATCTTTAAAGTATCTTTCCATATAATCAAGGCTGTGACCACCATTTTGTATTATATGTACATCTGTTGTAACGTATTGTTTTGGAGGGTCTGCGAATGCGTAGGGTCCTTCCTTTATGTAAACCTAGCAAGAAAAATATGGATTAAATCTAATACATTAAGTCATGTATCACACAGTGAGAACAATTCAAGCTTGACTCTACTATTGAAATTTTTGCATTGAAACAAAAAAATGTGTACATTATTTTGAGGAGAAATAAGTTATCTGCTACAGCAGAAATACTTCAAAGCAGAATGTCTGGGGTCTTTGTCCAAAGCAGACTGTCGGTGGATCCTAGTAAGAATAAAATATTATATTATCATCTGGCCCATTCACAAAATGTATTCTTTGATAATGTCACCTCACCGTAGGTAATGGAAGGTGTTCTTTAAACATCCAACGTTTCCATAAATAGACTTGACCTGATCACTGAAATTCTTCTGCTACTAGCAGCTACTAATAAAAGCACCATGTTTAATTGCCTTCTGGTTTTCTAGTTCATGTGCACTTGAACTAACATGTTCATGTGATAAATAGTGATCGTAGGAGATAATAAATAAGTCAACCTTAAATGAAATGTCAAAATAAATAAAAAATCCTGCCTAAAAAAGATTCAAGAAGCCAACTGAAGGCAATGGTAGTCCATAGGTTAAAATGGACTCAAGTAGCAGTAGCCAACTGAAGGCAATGGTAGTCCATAGGTTAAAATGGACTCAAGTAGCCTACTGAAGGCAATGGTAGTCCATAGGTTAAAATGGACTCAAGTAGCAGTAGCCAACTGAAGGCAATGGTAGTCCATAGGTTGAAACGAATTAAAGTAGCCAATTTGAGACATAGGTTAAAAAGGACTCAAGAAGCCAACTGAAGGCAATGGTAGTCCATAGGTTAAAACGAATTAAAGTAACCAATTTGAGACATAGGTTAAAAAGGACTCAAGAAGCCAACTGAAGGCAATGGTAGTCCATAGGTTAAAACGAATTAAAGTAGCCAATTTGAGACAATGGTACTCCATCTTTGAGTCACTACATGAAGGCTCCTGGAGTGCAACAGGGTGCAACTTATTTTGATAGTGTATCTTGTCACCAAACCATTACTATGGTTTACATTCTGAGAGGAACTATTCAGTTTGCCAATCCTTGCCATGACAATAGGTTATTTTTTTTTTTTTTCTTCATTTTTTTTTTACCATATTGATGGGGCTGAGGCCATTTTAATTTTTGTTCATGACATTAAACAATTTTTCAAATGACTGATGATTTCTTTGGTTCATTTGAAACTTGATGTAAGGTAATATTTGAAGTGGATTAAGTCTGAAATTCAGTTTGCCAATCCTTGCCATGACAATAGGTTATTTTTTTTTTTTTTCTTCATTTTTTTTTTACCATATTGATGGGGCTGAGGCCATTTTAATCTTTGTTCATGACATTAAACAATTTTTCAAATGACTGATGATTTCTTTGGTTCATTTGAAACTTGATGTAAGGTAATATTTGAAGTGGATTAAGTCTGAAACTTAACTGACTACTTCTTGATGTATGATGAATCAAGTTTAGGCTAGTCTGTCTGAAACATGAGTTTGGTAACTCAACCTTTAAAGCTAGTCTGTTTGAAAGGATGAGTTAGGTATTTCAACCTTTTAGCTAGTCTAGGGGTGGGCAAACTTTTTGTGCAGAGGGCCACATTGACAAATGTAAAGCTATTGGGGGGGCGCATGTCGATACATTTTTTTATATTAAAATCCGTAAATTGGCATTTAAACATTACATGAAAAAAGTCAAGGACCGTTTTAAAAAAAAAAAATTAGAAAGAAGTTTGATCAAAATTGTTAAAACAATCTTTAGGTTACATGAAATTCTGTAAAATAATTTTAAATGCCTTCAAGGGCCGCATAACATCAGTTGCCGGGCTGCATGCGGCCCGTGGGCCATAGTTTGTCCACCCTTAAACTGGTCTGTTTGAAAGGATGAGTGAGGTATTTCAACCTTTAGCTGGTCTGTTTGAAAGGGTGATTTATGCATTTCAACATTTAGGGTGAGTTAGATAATTCAACTTTAGAAGAAATTCAATAAGAAATAGTTTATAAAAACACAAAAGTACCATCATTTTATCTTTTTTTATGATCATGGCTTTACAAATAAAATATGTACATGCAGAATATAGACCAGTTCAAAATTTTTTTTTAGAGAAAATGGGGTTAAATTACGGTAAATCTAAATATCTGCTCTAAGTCTAAAATGAGAACTTTTAAAGTTATCTAATTATCCTGTTCATTAATCTACACTATACAAAACCTGCATGTAATGAAAAGACCACTAACAAAGAATAAATAATTGTGTTGAATGCATTTCAAATCTTAGAATTAAACTAATTGAAAACTCGTCAGTCTGTTCACCACACCAGAGAACTAAATAAAATCTGTGTTTCATTATCTTCTATATAACAGACAGAGTTGTCGTAGAATGTATGTAGACCTCAGTAACTCATGAAATCATAAAATACAATGTCAACAGACTTCAATAATCACATATATACTAATCTTATACAACATGAGAAGACCTTACAAATGTCATACACCAACAGAAGCAGATTGTACAAATTTCATACAACACAAGATGTTACAAATGTCATACAACAAGTAGACAATACAAATGTCATACAACAAGCAGACAATACAAATATACAACATGTAGACTATAAATGTCATACAGCATAAGACCTGACAAATGTCATACAACATAAGACATGACAAATGTCATAAAACATAAGCAGGCTTAATATAAGCAGACATCAATGTCATGCAATTAGCCGGACGGCAAATATTCACCAAAAGTTGAGTTAAAAATTATATGGACAAATATGTTAGACGTATAACATAATTGATATCAGTTTTTAATTTTCTATTAAGCTCTGAGAAGAGTATCAACAAAAGATGAGCCAACAGATAACCAGCAGCAGTGAGAATAGAAGGACTTAGTTTTATTGAAAGTTCATTTCACTACTCAGCAAACTAAATATTGGAAGAAACACTTCTGCTATATTCATGCTTTCCTTTAAGGACTCTCAATTTATTTATTCATGAAACTGATACATACTGTATTTGTTCACTGAAACTGTTGTTTAAGACCATGATGGAGCTTTGTCCTTCATAGGGGACCGGACATGTTTACTTGCTTATGTGACTACCAGACACTAATAAAATTTTGTCTTGTGTCAAACTCAGAGACATAGGCTAGATTATAAAAGACGCCATATTTATCACAAACATGAAATAAAAGTTTTAGGAGCGGTTTGCTATGAGTCCAGCTGTTACTCTTCTAGAACCTGCTCGCTGAATACCTTGAGATTTTGACAACATTGTGCTCATCATGGCCTGCAATAAATGTCTCTATTTAAACTTTTCTTGGACTAAAATCAGATCAATGTGGAGGAATGAAAAAAAAACTTCAATAACTTTTGGTGACTAAACATCAGTAGCCAATAGGAGCATTGTTAAGTCAAGGTCTGACTTCATGTCAACAGTGCTCACACACTATGGTCAGTTCATTACAAGACGTTGCTTCTTTTTTAGTGTGACAGCCCAATTTTTAAAAACATTCTAACATATTAAAATGGAATTTAATGATAAACGATCTGTCTCAATTACTGTCTGTTGAGTTTACTCTAGCCACTTTGGAGGAGGAGCTTCCTTCATTAAACTCTGACAAATTAGCTCTCTGACTGTCTCGTTTCTTGCATGTAGTCTGAGAAACATGCTGAAATAATACACTGTTATTCTTATTATCTTAGTAAACGAATACATTCTTTCAACTTACATAAAAAAAATTTTTATTTAATTGCTGGCCATATTTTATGCAGCTTAAATAACTAATCTTTAAAAAGCACATTATTACATACCACTACCTAATTAAAAACATAGAGAAAACAAAATTCAAAGAGAAATCAAGGGGAAAAAAGTCTGAGCTCTTCACCTTTTTATCCCATTGCTGATGTAAATATCTTAATAAAATGTTGGACTTTTCCGTGGTTATAACTGAGGAATACATTGTAATAAATTATGACATTAAACAACTAAAATAAATCCAGGCATATAGATCAAATAAATTTCCATATTTTATTTTCAAATATTCAAAACAAATTAAAAGGAGTTATTTTTTTTTTAAATTTCAACTTACTTATGAATTGCAGAAGAGCTTCCTGAAAGAAGTTATGTGAGTAATACAATAAAGTTATGATGCTTGACCAAAAAATACACAAACCTTGTTCTGAAGGATAATCTTTTGTTGAAATGTACACAGTAGGTTTCTGAAAAGAAACGAAGACACCCATTGTACTTAAAATTCTTTATAAAGAAGTAAAATATTATTGATGACACTAACTCTTGAACTTACAATAAAGTAAAAATATGACTAGGAAAAAATGACTGAACCACAACACACACGTATGTACCAACGGCCCTAATTAAAACCTATAAATATATTTCTTTAAAGCAATACTTCAACCAGCCATCATCATACCATTCAACTAACACCTAAAGAAAATAAATTTGTGGAAAGTTAACATTTTAAAATTTCATATGAAGTTCATTTGTATTTGACTGACAAAAATAAATGCCACCTCTAAATATGCTAGTCTTATTTTGACATCCTGTAGCTTACAAAAATAATAAATAGCATCTCTAAAAACAAAACAGTATTACATGACTAACATTAACAAAAATAAATAGCATCTCTAAATATGATAAAGTCTTAAAGAACTAAATGGTGATATGAAAGAGATGGTAGCTCAAAGATTAGAAGTCTTACATTAGATCGGTGACTGGAATCTGCATGAAACCTTGTGAAATTGTTTTCATTATAAGAAGGTAGACCCTCTAAAAAATCCCCCTGGAACAAAGCAGACAAAGGATGAGATTTAAATTTAACTAATTAAAGTTAACTGATTAGACTCATTCATTCAAAAGTTTGTGTACAAATTTTATAAACTGTTGAACATATCGCTGACACTATAAATTATTCAACTTATCACAGTTCAAGGATTGTTTCTACACCAATTTACCACACTTGGCAAAGAAGATAAAATGTAATAGGTACTTGATACATTTTTACCATTTATATAAACTAGTAATGGGCCTTGAATTCACATACAGTAACATATAATGCTAGTTATGGGCCTTGACTTCACCTGCAGTAACTTCTTAACATCAACAGTCATGTTACTGGTATTGATATCACACAACTTACGTTAACTCTCAATAAATATGTATGTTGTCTTATAAAATTATTTAGTTGCAGAAGTTTGTAAACATAAATTTCAGAGGCAGTCATTAGCAGAATTTAAACCCCTAATTCTAATTTTAAAAACGGCACTTTTAAAAAAAAAATTATACTGTTTAGTAGACACTTTGGTGAAAATTTCAGAACTTTTTTAAAATACAAAAAGACTACAGCTGTATAGAGCTTATTGAATGGTTAATAAGAAAGCCAAGATCAACTTTTAGCTCAAGTGGTTCAAAAGCTATGAATTTTTTTTAATGAGGAGCTCAAAACCTCTTTTTTGCTTTGGAGTTTTCCTCCTCACTTTGTGACCCAAATTTTGCTTTTGTTTTTATGCCTATAACTTTATTATAAAATGAGATTAAAATATAATATTTACAGAGAATATAGTTACATATGACTATGAGTTTTACTTAATACATCCACAAAATATGAATTTAGTAATCGTTAATATTCCAACCAAAATAAATTAATGGAGCATAAAATATGCTTACTCAACACTTTTATTTGATTAATTCTTTTTCTTCATCTACACTGTAGTTTGTTTTTTTTTATTTCCCAATGATAATAATAATTAGACATAAAAAATTTCCTAAAAGAAAATTGTAAACTGAAAAAAGGTGTTTATCTGCATAAATATCCAAAACGATACCCCTGAGAAATTAAAAAGTGAAGGTCGCAGTTTTGACAGCGAAATCATGAAACCGGATTTCCTGGGTCTTCCAATCGATACTGAAGATACTAGTCTTTAGTGGTGTAGACGCTGTTTTGTAACTGAAACATGTTATTTAGTACTAGCTAGGTTCAGGCTTAGTGAGAGGGACTTAGACTCAATGTAGACTTAAGGCAAGGCACAAGTAGAAGGTGTACTTGAATATGTTAGAAGTTGTCATTGACATTATCATTAACATTTGGTAAATAATAATAATAAGGGGTCTTATATAGTGCGGTACCCTAGCCTAGGACTGGGCTCGCCGCGCTGTACATAAAAATTTTATCAAAAGAGACATAATCATGACATTAAATAAATAAAATACATTTATGAAATAAAGAACAGCAAAAAAAAAAAATAAAAAAATAAAATAAAGAAATTAGACTCAGTTGTGTAAAGTGTACACTTAAGCACTTATGATTTAACACACTATTACAGTCGAACCCACTTATCTCGACTTCGGTTAACTCGCCAACCCTGTTATTTATGTCAACGTTTTTGTAGTGGAACAGCCAAATTCTCTCTTTGTCTTAGCATTTTCTCATCAGTTATGTTGATTCTTTTATGTCGTCAAACCCTGATATCTTGAGCATAAAAGACAGCCAAATTTGCCACTTAATGTAGGTTATCTGGGTCCCCACGACCAATCGTCGGCTTTTGAAAATATATCTACAACAGAAATGTGCATTCTTCAAACTGTGGTAATTTAAATGAAATGACAATATTGTTGTCTGCGAAATTAACTTGACACAGCAAGAAGCAGGGAGCGAGAGGCTTGAAAACAAAAGAGAGGTCGCAGTACCTGTTCTGTTTATATCGAACTTACTTGTAGTTGAATAGGCTTTCACACGTTCTTACACGGAGATTTTTTTTTAAAACCCAGGTTCCGTATTTGAATAAACTCAACTGGCGAATCCGGAAAAAGAGAAAATAAAAACTTGCGAATCCGGAGCTGAAAAATATTTAGCCTCACGAATCTGTAATTCCCGGATAACTCAGAAAAAAGGCACCCCACAAATGCCTTGTGTTGTTAGCAAACATGTATGTACATTTAAATAGCATGCGGATTGCTTCATCAAATAAATCGCTGTAATGGTTTTGTCTTGTCCTAAAAAAAAAAAACTCCAAAAACATGTGCAATGTACATTCTCATTTATAAATGCACATCATGTACATAAAGAAATTTCAAGTATTAGTCATGATATTGTCAATAGGACAAACTGAATAATTAATAATACGTTAATTAAAGTCTTTGAGTTGAGTTACGTTTCAGAGTTAAGCCGTCGCCGTCAGTGTCAGCCGTGAGTAATAAATAATAATAATAATAATAACGTATAATTAACGTGGGATTTAAACCGAAAATAGGAAATATTTTTATGTCATTAGGCCTAGCCTTAAATAATATAAATTAACTAACCATTTATGAGATCAGAAATACTGCAGTCTGGCTTTAAAATGACAAGTTAATGAGATAACTTGATATTATTTATGAGAATGATATGAACCACTAAAAATTTACTAAAATATCTATTGGTTTAGCAAAACATTACTTATTCATAAATAAATTGTGAATATAAATGAAATCATCTATCGCCACTAAATTTTTGGCGATAATTGCTGGGTAGCTATTGGCAAGGCAAATAAGAAATCTGCTTATATATCATTAAATTCTATTAAGGAGAAGGACGGATTGTCACCCAAAATTACACAAATTACATAACAGTTTAAGATAATTGACATCAGAGGCGTCTCCACGGGGTGGAGGAGAGAGAGGGGAAGCGGCCACTTTTAACCAATATTTTTATTGAATAGTAACAAATTTTCTAACAAAATTTGTGCATCCCCAATATTCATAGTGAGCTCTCGAAATTCAATACCAAGCCAACAGTGTTTCTTTCAGGCATATCTTCGGATCAAGTCAAGTAACCCCACCTCTCCGGAGAAAAATGTGTTAAAAAATAAATCAAATCTGTAATTCCAAAAATCTAAAAACTTTCTTGGAGAAAGGCCCGATGAGCCTCCTCCCCACCTTCTCCCCACTGTCGCTCGGGAGCCATAAACACCCTCGAGTTCTGCTCCCCCCCCCCACGCCTATCAGTGTGACAATATGGGCCGAATCTAACATCGGACCAAAAAGAATAAAAAGAATACCCTGTGGCGTGCCTAATTTGTGCACTGGTAGATGCCCTTCCCC